GGGCCGGTACAGGGGGCCAGTAGTAGAGGGCTGGTAGTAGAGGGCAGGTAGTAGAGGGCTGGTAGTAGGGGGCAGGTAGTAGAGGGCTGGTAGTAGAGGACCGGTAGTAGGGGGCTGGTAGTAGGGGGCTGGTAGTAGGGGGCAGGTAGTAGGGGGCTGGTGGATTTTCCTGTGCAGCCCCGCTTTGGGAAAGGTAACTTGCATGTATCTCATGAGGAAGGAAGTGTAACTGTCAGGAGATATTCAGAGACTCAGAGCAAATGCTAGTCTGTTAGTAGTAATTTCTCCTAATACACCATAGCGCCTTTACTCAGATCAGTTCAGAGTCAGGCAACAAGATACACCTGCAACCTTGAAGAGACTATTCTGGTCAGAGTCACGACGTACTGGTCCTCAACTCAGTAGTAGATCTCCTGCCAAGAGCTTCTATTGTCAAATGTCACATTTTGAAATCCTATATTGTAAACCAAAAGTATTTGGAAACTCTCCAGAGCCCATGAATATGTTATGCTTTATTTTTAAACCCTGTGAGTCACAAGATTTTGTTCTTAGATGACCTATCTACAGTCTGTTTTGTTATGGCTGAAGTGATTCAGCTTGTTTTTGATGTAAAACTATCCAAGCACTGTCCTCTGAGGCATAACGCTGTGGAGAGAGCTCTCTCTGAGCCAGTGCCGCCTGGATTCCACTGTGAACATAGTACAGTGATCTGCAGGAATTAGTTTTCACATTTAAAAAGCTTTTAAATAGTGCATATTTGCCTAGATAAAGGAAGGTTGGAATTTGTTTAACATTTTAAGATTGTTTTTCTTTTCAGAAAAATGGACTACTTTTTATTTGAAATCGACTAATTTTGTTTTCTGCTTTAAAATATGTACCAAATTCTGATCCAGTAAAGTTTTTATTAGTTTAGAGGTTGATATTAAGTGCATTTGATTCTGGATGACCCAAATACTTTTTCTATTACTGATGCAATACATATGGTTTTCTACTTTTTAATTAAACAAATGTACAAAGAATGAAAACTGAGATTTCCCAAATTCACTTATTTTGAAAACACTTTATCACATAAATCATTATTTGCTGCAATAAAATTAATTAGCAGTCAAGTAGAAAGTTTATAGGCTATAATATGAAATGGCTCACTTTTTTGTTGGTTCAAAATATTTCTGCTGGTATCAAGGAAAAATCCTACCTCAAGTACAAAGCAGAATGAACACTTACAATTGCCCAAGAACAAGCTTCTGTACTGTTAGCTCCGGTAATGACCTCCACTGGTTCAGGAGAAAAGGCGAAGAGCCAGTGATTGCCGTTCTGTGTTGTTCAGTAACTGTTGAGCCCTCAGAATTTAAACGTGGAGGATAGGGCAGCATAGTGCAGTCACGCTCAAAACACGTGGGTCTTGGCTTGGTTTACTTTCCCATAACCGTAGTGGTCACGGTCCCTTGAGCCCACGTAAGTCAGCAGGTACAGAAGGTTTTGTGTACTGAGTTTTATTTTGCAGATTGCATTTCAGTCTGATTCGTAGAAGACACATGCATAATCATTACATAATAGTAATGATTTATAAAATATCAGTAAGCCTGTGACAGATATAAATGTTTGTCTAGTATGTAGTAAATGTACTTTATGCCCCTTCTTGGGGGGTAAAAGACAACAGAACCTGTGCCTTATAGTTGAAAGGTGAAGGACCAGGAGTCCCTCTTCCTCCTCTTCTTCCTCCTCCTCCCTCCTCTTTCTCCTCCTCCCTCCTCCCTCCTTTCTCCTTCCTCCTCCTCCTCCTTCCTCCTTCCTCCTCTTCCTTCTTCCCTCCTCCTCCTCTTCCTTCCTCCTTCCTTCTTCCTCCTTCCTCCCTCCTCCTTCTTCCTCCCTCCCTCCTCCTCCTTCCTAATTCCTCCCTCCTCCTCCTTCTTCCTTCATTCCTCCTCCTCCTTCCTCCTTTCTCCTTCTTCCTCCTCCTCCTTCTCCTCCTTCCTCCTTTCTCCTCCTCCTTCTTCCTCCTTCTTCCCTTCTCCTCCTCTTCCTTCTTCCTTCCTCCTTCCTCCCTCCTCCTCCTTCTTCCTTCCTCCCTCCTCCTCCTTCCTTCCTTCCTCCCTCCTCCTTCTTCCTTCCTCCCTCCTCCTCCTTCCTAATTCCTCCCTCCTCCTCCTCCTTCCTAATTCCTCTCTCCTCCTCCTTCTTCCTTCCTTCCTTCCTCCTCCTCCTTCCTCCTCCTCCTTCTTCCTCCTCCTTCCTCCCTCCTCCTCCTCCTTCCTCCTTCCTCTTTCCTTCTTCCATCCTCCCAAGCGCTGGGATTACAGGTGCGTGCCACCATGCCCAGTCTCAATCACTGTCTCAGCGCGTCCCAGAGGTGGGGCTGGCATGGCACACCTGGGAATCAAACCCTGTCCCTGCATCTGCCTAGGCAGGCTCTTTAATCCTCTGAGCTATCTGGCTGACCCTCATTCTTATTTCCAATAAAATCTCTCAACTTTAGGAGAAAAAAAAAGTGAAGGAGCTATCCAGATGACCATGATAAAATCATGGGGCGCTAGAGGATTACAGCAGGGTCCCGGGCCGCAGACAGGAAGAGAAGACTGGTTCACACTCCAGGTGCCCTTGTGCTGAGAAGAAAGTACAGGCCGTGGTGGCCGGTGCCGTGACCAGAGGCCACTGAAGTGGAAGGGAGAGGTGAGCCCAGAGAGCGCGTCCCGTGTGGGCGCCGAGCAGAGGAAAAGGAGCCGGTACGCCCGAGGTCTGTGGCCCCGAGCAGCCTAAACTTCGTGGTGCAGCCGCCGTGGGCAGCCGTCCTGGTCTCTGCAGGGCCCGCCGAGTCAGCTCTGTCCTGTGGCGGGGAATCCAGCAGCTGAGCGCCGCACAGATTGGGAAGGCAGGAAGCCACAGACAGGGTCACAGCTGCAGGTGTTTCGGCGACTTAGGAAACGGAACTAAGAAGGCGGCAGAGAGTGAGGAGTGGCGCGGGCAGGGCTGGCGGGGAGGAGTGGGCAGAGCTGGGGCAGCACAAGCTGCTGGCCAGGAGGAATGTTGGGTGCCGGCGACTGAGAGTGCAGAAGCAGAATGAGGCACAGCTCCGGCTGTGGCAGCAGAAGCTGCAAAATGCAGCTTAGTGGAGATGGGCAGGAACAGCGCTGAGAGCTCAGAGGATAGGCCCGTCGGGGTCAGCCGGGCAGATGGCACAGGGGCCAATGGGGCAGAGAGCGTTGCAGCAGCGCGAAGGCAAGGACAGAGCGGCGAGGGAGGGGAAAACGCGGAGGAAAGCGAGCCACGCAAGCGGCCCATTGAGTTCCTTGTCTGCAGAGAGCCGCATTCTGCAGTGGGTGGGACTGGAGGAGGACAAGCACCGGAGCGGACCGGCTGGAGGGTCGTCTGGGAATGCAGGCAAGGACAGGGGGAGGGTCACAAGGGGAAACAAGCTGCTCAGTGTGTAAGTAAAAAGGGAGCAGCACAGAGGGACAGAGGAAGGTGCACCGGGGACAAGAACGAGGCTGTGTGCAGTGCAGCCCCGAGCCGATCTGCCACGTGCGGCCTTCTGTGGCTGGGGCCGCACTTGCTGAGGGCCTGCCTGCACTGGGAGCACTGACGTTCTCGTTTCGTCTACTGTGAGCTAATTGAAAATTAAATGGAAACGTGGCATGAGGCTACCTTATTTGGTAGCAAAGATCTGTGTATAAGCAGTGAATTCAGGAAAGAGCGTGAGACATTGTGAGCAAGGAGGGACACGTGCCAGGGAGCGTGAGGCAGGGTGGGAGCGCTGAAGGGACTCGGCGAACAGTCGTTGCGCGCTTCCCTAACACGCAGCTCTCCCTGCAGGGAGGCCCGGGCAGGGAGCGGGGAGCCGTCCTGATGTGGGAAATCCGGGTGAGGAGACGGGTCACTGCAGCGCCAGGGGCTCTCCAGTGCCACGTGTAGGCCTGCGGCCTGTCTTTCCAGGAGTCCCCAGATCCGCACAATGTAAGTGTGGGGTCAGGCCCGCTTAGAGGAGCTCTGCCTGTGCAAGGCTGAGTGAGGAGTAGGAAAGGGTGTGGGGAAGACGCTGGGGCCAGAGGTCAAGGTAACGTGAAGGGCGGACCGCGAGACAGGCGCGACCCGACCTAACATTTCCATTGTTGATACCTGGAGAGTTTGGAGGTAGAAATCGGGGAAAGAAAGAAGCTCTGGTGTAGGAATTGCCACCTGTCGGGCGAGAGGAATGTGTAGGCCAAGGCACGTGTTTCCAGATCCATGGAATGGGCACAGAAGCAGTGTCATGTTGCTTTGCTCCAAACTCGGTAACTCAGCTTAGAATATGTTATTTTTCTTAATATAATCCAAATTCAAATTGTGGAGCTGGAATTTATTTCCTCTATTTATGGTGACGTCCAAACTTAGAAGACCTGAACTAGGAACCTGTGGCGTCATCTGCCCCCGCGGTTGGACTTTGTGCCTAGGAGAAGGTGCGCTGTGGGGTAAGCGCCCGGCGGGGGTCCCTGCCTGAGGCGAGAGCAGAGCAGCCCCTCCCCGAAGACCCCTGCCCCCCTGGTGATCTGAGCAGCAGCCTCTTCTGGAGACAGGCTGTGCCTCAGAAAGCTGAGCACGCGGGAGAGCGTTCGGCAGAGTGGCGGGCCTCCGTCGGTGCGTCTGATCTCATGCTTGCAGCTTGCTAAGCCGCCGTTTGGCTCTGTATCCTGAGAGAACAAAACATCTTGCTGAAGCATGAGTCTCCTGTCTACCTTAGACCGCCGTCTCTTGATTCCTAAGTTCGTGACAGCGACCGCTAAGAGCAAAGGTAATAGGCAGGACCCCAGTGACAGATACAGTGAGGTCTGCAGCTGCACTCCGGGGAGGCTGGTGCTGGGAAGAAGACGGCCGGTCAGCAGCTGGGGCGGCGGCTTTTCATAAAGGGCCAGCGTGGGTCTCCTGCCGGCCGGCTCGCGTCTTTTAGTAATGAGGAGAGACGCCTGGCTTGCACCTGTACATGAAGCACTGTTTTCAGAGAATTGTAGAGCCTTGTTCGGCCACCAGCGCTTCCCTTTGCACTCTGAATGATATAGTGAGAAACGTACTGAAGCGATTGAAAATAACCATGATTGCTTTTTATGAAGCAGTACTGGGTGCCATGTGAGAGTACCAGAAGTGTGCCTTGCATCATGTTTTTACATGGGCCTCACGCATTTATTTTATTATTTATTTATTTTTGTATTTTAGGGGAAGGTCTATGGGGTGTTCAGGGTCTCACTACCAGATCCGACTTTATCGATCTGCCTGTTTATAGCCTCCCAAAAGCTGGGATTACAGGCCTGCGCCACCACGCCCAATCTCAATCTCTGTCTCAGTGCGCCCCGGGGGCCGGCACGGCAGGCCTGGGGATTGAACCCCTGGCCTCTGCACCTGCTTGCAGGCACTTTAATCCACTGAGCTATTTGGCCGGTTCACATTTTTAAATAAAGTGATTAGGTGAACAAAGCAGTAACTGCTAAAAGATATAAATAAATGCAAGCTTGAGAGTGCAGTTTCAGGTCTTTGGTTTCACAAGTAAGGAGTTTCTTAAAGCAATTTATGGGAGCAGCAGCTCTAGGACATTGTTTGCATTTCTTGCAAGGACGGTGCAATGAAATGGGGTGGGCTCCTTCAGCCGGCTGGCCAGAGCACTGCGCCAAGGCCCGGGGGGTGGGAGGGCTCGCTTGCCATTTTACTTCCCAACGTCCTTATCTTGGGGAATTTAGATGCATCTTGTGAGACGTGAGCTTGCATCTTGAGAGGCTGACTTCTAGAAAAAGTTTAAAGTATTTTTCCTTGTTACTTCCTCCCTCTCCTTGACTTTTCTTCTCCCAAACTGGCTGTTTCAGATAAATTTAGAAGATATACAGATGGAAGTACCTTTCCTATCCTCCAGGAACTCAATGATCTTTATTTTTAAAAATTATTTTTTTGTGTGTGTATTTAGTTCAGGGTCTACGGAGTCTCCCTATGCAGATCAGACTCGTGGTGATCCTCCCATTTTCAGCCTCCCAAGCGCTGGGATCACAGGAGCCTAGTCTCTGTCACCATTCTTTCAGCGAGCCCTGGGGGTGGGGCCGGCATGCAGGGATCAAACCCTGTTAGACCACTGAGCTCTCTGGCCCACCCTTCAGTATGCTCTTTAATACAAGTGCTTTTCAGCAGAGTGTGGACATCACTCAGTAGACTTGGTAGAAAACCATTTGTCAGCGCCACCCCACCCTTCAGGTCAGGGGTTCAGTGCTCTGCAGTTCCGGGCCCCCCAAGAACTCTGTTTGCACTGGCCTTAGACTGTTGCCCTGAGGACTAGAACATCATGCCTTTTTTCTTTTCTTTTTTTTTTTTTTATTGGATATAAATTACATACCAAAGTATAGTGCGGTTTGTGGTGTGTTCACCAGGCTATGTACCTTTTCCACTAATTCCACAACACTTTCATCTCTGGAAGAAGCCTGTACCTGTTGGCAGATTCCCCACCCTCTCTCCTCACAACCACCGCACTGCCTCCTCTCTCTATGGATTTGCCTGTTATGCGTATTTTATATAAGTAGAATCATTGTGCGTAGGCTTTTGCTTCTGGGTTTCACTTAGCATAACACTTTCGGGTTCATCTCCATTACAGCATGTGTGGCTGCTTCATTATTTTAGTGGCTGGATAGTACTGAATTGTATAGATTCACATTTGGTTTATCCATGGATCTGTTAATGAACATGTAAATTGTTTCTACTTTTGGCTGTTACAGATAAAGCTGCAAATGTTAATGGACACATTTTTGAGGAATGCGTTTTTAGCTCTCTTGGGCTTATAGAGCCAGTTCTCATTATTTGTAGTAATTATGTTCACACAACCAGACACTGAACTAATGAATATTGGGTCATTGCTTCTACAGGAATACAGGATTAGTTCCTGTTACATTTTCTAGTTGATCAACATCCAGCCTTGTTTCATGTACATTTTAAAGATATTTTATCTGGTATGTACTGTTACGCCTGCAGAAAGTTTATTTGCACCTATATTTTCTCTGAAAGGCACAGCGCAAGTGTCTTGCACTGAGACGTATGAGGCCATGGGTCAGCACTACCCTCAGGCTCTTTTAAGCAGCGAAATTTCCAGAAGAGCCAGACAGTGGCATACGTGGTACTAGACGGGCTGCTGAAGGGTCCTGTGTTTCCAGCAGAGGGTCAAGTGTGACCTCAGTGGTGTGTGATGCCCAGTCCAGTGGCCTGGCCGATGCTAGTTTCTAGGCAGCTTCACAGATGTGGGGTGGGATCCACGAATGATGAGGCTAGTGCACCCAGGGGTGGATCGGCTGGCCAGGTGAGCGGCTTCGTGTCGCCAGTGTTGCGGGCTGCTCGCACCTTCCCCTCCCCCACGGTGCCCGGGCTCCAGGCTCTCGAAGGCACAGGACTTGTGGAGGTGGCTCTTCTCCTCCTCTTCTCTTCTTTTCTCGTCTCATCTCTTCTCTTTTCTCCTCTCCTCTCCTCTTTTCTTTCTTTCTTTCATCCTGGTGGATGTAAAGTGGTTTTGATTTTTGTTTCCTTATGGAAAAGAGCAATTAATGCTTAATTTTTTTGTTTTCTTATTTTCTTTTCTCTCCTTAATTTATTATAACTTTTTTCTTTTTTCTCTTACAATTTTGCATGCATATATCTGGCAATCTGAACAACTAATTTGAAGACAGCTCTAGGTAGTACAGCAAATACTGTCAAATTTATACTGTTGTTGAGTGAAATTCTGTCATTTATAATTTTTTCTGTTTTAATACTGTATTATACTCTATTGAAAATTTTTTTTAAATTAAAAGAACACTAGTAAGTTGAACATCTTTTTATGAACATATTGGATGTTTAGTATCTTATTGAGAGAACTGTTTAAAAACTTTTGCCTCAGGGGCTGGGGAGATGGCTCAGTGGAATAAGCACTTCCCTGGCAAGTACAAGGGCCTGAGTTCAATCCCCGGTTCCGCCAAACAAACAAACATTTTCCTCTTTTAAATTGTTATAAGAATCTTTTAAAACATATCCCAGATACCACACACTTAGGTATGTAAGGTTTTTTTTTTTTCACTTTCTTGTTAAGTCCTTTCATCTATAAACATTTTAAAATGAAGTCTGATTTTAATTTGTGCTTATGAAATTTCTGAGTATGTAGTCTTCATATTATTAATCAGTATATCCTACTAGAAGGATTGTTTGCACATTTTTATTTTTAAAGTCCTGAAGAATTAGATTTCATGGCTTCAATAAATTATGTTATTTGTCAAGGTATGACATCTGTAAATTTAAAGCATTTGTTTGTAGTTACAAGGTTTTAATGTTGTAGAATTTTAAATACTGATGTTATTGGGCCATCTCTGTTTGGTTTTTTTTTTTAAGTATTAAATCCACTTATCAAAATGCTGTTTTTGTTTAGGAAGCTGAACAAACACACTTGGAACTGCCCTGAATGATATTTCTTCTCTAGTAGGGAAGATGCTGTCTCTTAGGGAACTCTGAACTTAAGCAGGGTTTCAAGAGCTGCTTGGGAAAGAGCCCAGACCCCGGAACTCAGATAGGACACGACATGGCTGGTATTTGTTTGTGTTAGTTTAAGTGTAGTAGCCCTGTGTGTCCCCAAACTGAATCTGCAACACTTACTTAGGCCAAGCAAGCAAATAGTATCAGCTAACATGGCTTTAATCTACTAAGTAACCCTAAATCCAGAAGATCAAAGGCCGCTATAACTGAAAACAGCACTGGCTGGGTGCAGTTTCCCTGGAAAAGAGGAAGGCTAGAAATTACATGTCACCTTCATATCCTGGCCGCTGACCTGGCGCTGGGATCAGCCCCTCTGTGTGCCGGCTGTTACCCGGCGCAGACCCCGCCCCTGGGCTGCGTGGGGAAGGCTGGAGCGGTGGGCGCAGAGCCCTGCCGGGCGGGCGGGCGGGCGGAGCAGCCGAGCCCCGTGCTGCAGCCCAGCCGAGCCGAGCCGAGCAGCCGAGCGCCGCGCTGCAGCCGAGCCGAGCAGAGCCGAGCCGAGCAGAGCCGAGCCGAGCAGAGCCGAGCCGAGCAGAGCCGAGCCGAGCAGCCGAGCGCCGCGTTGCAGCGCTCGGCCGCCGCTCGCGCGGGCTCCCCTAGCTGCCGTCCGCCGGCCTGCTCTGCAAGCCAGACTGAGCCCGAGAGGTCTCCTCGCGTAACGGAAAGGTAATATATTTTTTCTGGCCCGAGTGTGTGTGTGTGTGTCTGTCATTTTGGAAGACTTTAAAACTGAATTTAGTTTCTAGGCTCGTATCTGAAATCGAAGGTCATCTTTTTCCAGCGCAAGCTTTGCAAGGACACTCTATGCATTAAAGCCTTGTATTTATTGAATTTATCGTCTGGCACAGAAAGGCAGCTCTTTGTTGAAGTGTGCTTTCTTTCTGAGGTTGACAGGAAACCTAAGACTTAAGGTAGCCTGCGTCGCTGTGTACTTCAAGAGTCTTGTTTAGGCGGTGTGTCAGAGTGTTTGGAAATGTGCGCTTTGCACCTCGATAGAATCATAGCCGCACAGTCGCAGGAGCCCCTTCAGTTACTTGCGTGACCAGTGTTTGGCAAGGTGGCGTGGCCTCACGAGAGGAGTCTGGGGAGACACCTCTTGGAAACTGAGCTTGGCGGCAGCGTTAGTCCCTGCAGTCATTCCCAGCGCGCTCGCTCGCTCGCTCGCTCGCTCGCTCGCTCGCTCGCTCGCTCGGCTAGGGGAGCACACCCTGGCGGCGGCGGGTGCTGGAGGGGCTCGAGCTCGTCGCCGGGCCCGGCGGAGTGCGCTAACACCCCAGCCAGGTGCAGGCGGGGCGGCTGCGGCGTGCAGGTCAGCGCTGCGTCTGCTGGGCAGGCTTTTGCTCAAGCAGAGAGCGGTGACTTCTGGGACTCGTAGAAAACTCTAAACTAGTTCAACTTGTAAAATATTTTTGTCTGGTAATAAAATATGAATTAAAAACAATAAACAGTGAAAAACCAAAATGTTTGCTCCTTGTCATGATACCTTTCTTCAGTATAGAGCAAGAAATAAAGTGGGGCTGGCCTGGTAGCTCCGCAGCCTAAAGAGCCACTTAGGCAGGGCGCAGCGGCAGGTTCGATCCTGGGCGTGCCTTGCTGGCCCCGCCGCCGCCACCACCGGGGTGCACTGAGAAGGCGTTGAGGCTGGGCGTGGTGTAATCCAAGTACCTGCGATCCAAGCACTTGGGAGGCTGAAAACAGGAGAGTCACTATGAGCCTCATGTACTAGTGAGACCCTGTACACCCTGTTAGACCTGTCCTCAATACAGAAAAAAAGAATGTTTTATTTTATTCAACATTTTCTTTAATAAGTAAGTATTCGAGTTAAATAAATGAAATAAAAGGATTATTTTAGATCATAATATTTATAATTAAGAAAATTCGAGTTCCTTCTCATGGCTGAGAAACCACTAAGCTACGTAAATAAGCTTTAAACTAATTAAGGTCTCACTGCTAGGCCGTGAGTTTACTACTTCACATGGTTTTGATATTTGCTGACACATTTATTATTTTTGTTTCTTCAAGATACTATTTTAGAATGTTTTCATTGCCAAAATGTGACTATTGGAATATTTTATTGGATTATGCTTCCTTTGGAACTTTTTGTTTTAGGTACAAAACTAAGGAGAATGCGTTGGCATATTTTCATGCTTCATACAGTTCACACTGCATACTTCAGTTTCAGGATTGTGAGCATGAACTATTTGTATTGATCACAAAAATACGTTTGTGTATCTAAAATGGTTCATCTCCAAAGCAGCTGCGAAATCCATAGCCGCCTGGCCTCCGTCTGGAAGGTGATCTGAATTGCGAAACGGGTCCGTCTGCCTCTTACCTGTAATCCTGCCTGTCCCTGCAGCCTATGTTGGGCCACTTGACGTTTCCGGCCACCCTTGGGAAATCTGCCTTCCAGCGCTAGCTGCGCCCCAGCTCTCTACCCTCTGTCCTGGCTGCTTTGAGATCTGGGCTTGGATCTGAGTATTCTCACTGCATGAGTCTTAAAACTCCCTGGTGAAGGGCAGCCTTGAGACAGGCCTTGAGAGCACTTTCTGCTTTTAAAATCTTACAATTCCCCATCACATACTAACAAAGAGAATAAGACCCAGTTGTTCAGGGTCAGAAAGTGAGCTGGTTAGCCTGTTAGCGGGTTTTTTTTTTTTTTTTTTTTTGGTCGGGGGAGCCTAAAACAAAGCAACTAAAGTAAATTAGGAGAGCTAGCCTTGGGGAATAAAGTGTCTTTTTGTTCTCTCCACCTTAATTTTTGTTCTTTTATTTTAATTACTGCCAAACAAGCTCCTGTAAATCATAGCTGCTTCTTATGACTGCTAAATAAGACTGTTTACCTATTTAACTGAAAGATGAGATTTAATTAACTTTGTTAGCAAAAAGAATCCCACATCCATGGTAAATTCCACTATAGCTCATCTGATAGATACAAGGTGTAGCACAGTTTGTGAACTTTTATAGTGATAATGTCAGCAAGGAATAAAAAAATTATGCAAATTGCACCCACATCTCTACTAAAAGTTAATTTACAGGTCCAGTTCAAATGAGAAGAAAAACCTGTGTAAATTCAGTATTTTCCTCAACTTACAGCAACTCAGAGTCCCTTACGTAAGGGTGTCTCTGATGACCTTTCCACAGTCCCACGAGTGATGCCCCCTCCCAGCACCTCCAGCCTTCTAGAGGGAGGGCACCCCTAGACAGTACTCCTGGGCCCTAGGGCAGGAGTGGGGTGGGGGACCCACGTGGGGAGCTGCTGTAGGAGATGCGATTTGCTGCTGCTTCGACTCCATATAACAGCAGGGAGTGGGCCTGGTGTCACATACTTAACACTTGGGTGGAAGGCTTAGATAATCTAAGTGTAGTATGGAAGCAAAACACGTCGCCATCTAAGTCAAAGAACTTTTAAGTACTTCAGGTGATCTTAGTTTTTGGCTTTATGAAAGACATTCTTAAAATTCCCCTTGTTCTTGAGTCTCATGATAAGTGGGAGGAGAAACCTGCGTTTGGTTACCTGGGTGGCAGTGTCTCCTTTGAGCAGCTTTCTGAGGTTTAGTGGTGTCTGTAGAGGGGCTCGTGATGTGTTCAGCAGAATCAGTTTCTCTCCGCAGTGTGAGAATGGCGCTCCTGGGTAGGAGCTGTGCTGATGTGGGTGGATTGCTCAGCTGTGAGGCTGTCCTGTCTGAGATCTCACTCTCGGCAAAATCATTTCAGATGAAGCTGCAGGACCTGAGGACAACCTGACCCACCTCAGGGTCCTGTCTATTACTCCAACGTCTCATGAGTCTCAGTCTGAGGGTGTGATGCTAGAGAGCTGGCCTGGCATCTGGAAACTTGCTCTAGAATTAGAAGGTTTGAGGTGATTGGATGCTAGCGGAAGCCCACACGGCCTCTCCCTGCGGAGGAGCTTGAGGGAGCTTGCTCTTCTGCTGAGGAGCTCAAGGCGGCATTTCGAGGCTGACCTCCAGTTAGGATGTGTGGTCTCCTGAGAGCCAGCAAGCTCCTCAGCTGTTTCCTCCACTTTGTCCCAAAGAGGCACAAAGACGCTTGGCACCTTCACACACTTGCCGCTTCACGCCGGCCCTGCTCACTGAGCTCGTGTCTCCCCGGGGCCCCATTCTTGCTGCTGCCCTTCCGCTGCAGGAAATGCACAGGTGAAGCCTGTTGTCACCAATCGTAACAAGTGGAATCATGCAAATTGTCTAGAGCACACGTGACATGAAATGCCAGGACCGGTTGTTTGGGATATGCAGCAGTATTTTGTATCTCAAGCAGTATTTCTGAATGTGGAATAGTTTGGCAGTTGCTTGCTTTTAAAAATTGGTGAGGATTGTTGGACATGGTGGTACCTGCCTGTCATTCCATCTTCTGGGTAGGCTGAGGCAGGAGGATCACAAATTCTGTGCCAATCTGGGCAATTTAGATAGACCTTGTCTCAAAATCAAATTTAAAATGGGTAAAGACTTTAGCTCAGGGGTAGAACACTTGCCTGGCATATGCAAGGCCCTGTATTCGGTCCCCAGCACTGTAAAAAGTAAATAAATAAATAGGTTTATGGGGATCAATTATATAAAATCAATGATTCACAGCTTTGGAAGCACATTAGAACCACTCGGGGAGCTTTTAAGACAGTGCTAATGTCCACACCATTGCAGTCTGAATTAAACTAGAACCACTGGCCAAGGTTCTGTTTCTGTAGTTTTCTCTTTCACTGCACTACAGTGAGGCCCTCACAGCAGATTAGTAATTCTGTGACTATTTTGATTGTATTTATTGCATTCCCTTCAAGACATGTAGCGGACTCTAGATAAATGTCTTGGTTTGTTCTTGGGTTAGATGATGACTTGGGCAGGACCTGGGAGAATTGTTTAAAATGGCTTTTGTTTGACATTTCTGAGTATAAACAGCTTCTCTAATTTCGCTTACTATATTCTTGATTATGCAAATTACCATAATCCTCCAGACTTAGACTTCAGCATTTATTACTGTACCCTAATAGGATTTTAGCTGGGGAGATGGCTCAGTAGAATAAATGCTTCCCTGGCAAGCACAAGGGCCCGAGTTCAATCCCCGGTTCCACCAAAAAAGAAAAAGGATTTTAATTCACCTGCAATGTAAATGCCAATATGTGAGAGGTCGGCCCGTACCCGGAATTGTACTTGTAGACGTAACACAACAAGAGCATGCAAAGCCGTGCCAGGGCGGCGGCACGAAATGGCCTCTCGTGGGAGAGCTTTGGAAGAAGCGTCCGAGAACTGCCTTAGTAGCTGCGGTGCAGCCGCAGTGCTCCTGGGCCGGACTGAGGGGGAGAGCATTTGTAGTGAATGAGCGTGTTTTGGCACCACTTGTTCCTGCATGTGCAAGAGAAGTTTTATTTTATATCTGTGTCTCCTTCCATGTAAACCTGTACCAAAGGTACACTGTACGTAAGTCAAACTGAGGAAAATGAAACTGATGTTCTCGCCTCACTCCCGCAGACTTGAGGCTCTGCTCCCACAACCTACTTCTGGCACCAGATATACACTAAAATGTCTTCCTGACGTTATTTTATTTTCATGTTAAATTTCATTATAAATATGGGGAGCCAGGACTACCTAGCAGTTTCAGTTTTTCTTCTGTATTACTAAACTATAAATAGCATGAATAGTTTTTTATAAAAAGTTATTTACCTTTTTTGATTTTTGATACCTTTATGTAATGTATAATAAAAGGTTATAGAAAAATGTGATGTTTCATTTTCAAAGGTATTGTTTATTATAAGTAGAAACTGGCTGCCTAGTACAAATTTGACAGTCAGACAGTAAATTCATATTATGAAAGCATCGCAGTCTCGCTGTCAGTTCCTAATGCTGGTTAGTTTTCATTGCTTGGGGTCGGGAAGCTCAGCTGGATCTGCTGGGCTCTGGGGGGCCGCGGGGCTAGGGGCGGGTCTTTCTCTGGGAAAGCCTGCAGCTTACTCCAGCTAATGCTTATCAGGAATAGCAGCAGCAGTACTTTGTTTGTGTGTAGTATTTTTCTGCAATGTGTAAAATTTTTATAAATTATTGGGGGAAGATACTTATAAGTGTTCTTATAAGTGTTCTTATAAGTATCTTCCCCCAATAATTTATAAAAATTTCTTATTGAAGGAGAGTTTAATGGTAGAAAGTTCATGAACTCAAAGAAAAGTAAAAAAAAAAACAGTTTGTCTCTAAGGGGAATGTTTTCTACGTAAGATCATCTCTTTCGGGTTTCTGTAAGTGCCTGATTCTTGGACTGAACATACAGACTGTGCTTTCAGGGAACAATTACATTCTTTTGAAGTAGTTCAGATACTGCATGACAACGAAGCTCAATCCATTGCTTTACTTTTTCCAGTTTGCATAATGCAGTATGTTGGGTGGATAATAACTCCTTAATTCAGTGAAATATTTCTCTGCCACTCTGGAGTGCTGAATTACAACCTTTTAAAGCTATCTAGGGACATATTGAATTCAGAGGCTATTTTTCTTGTGGTCTCAGTAGTCTCCAGTGATCCTATAAACGCCAGTTGAACTTGGCCTTGCCCTGGAGTCATCTTAGAGGAGTGGGAAAGCCTACCTTCTCGCGCTGGTCTGAGATTGAACCCTGGCCGTGGGGTTTGGATACATTGCCTAATGTGTTTGACCCTCAGTTTTCCCTGTAGTGGTAGTGGGTTTAATAATATCTTCATAGAGGTAATGTGAGGAAAGCAATTAATATAGTAAAATGATTAAAAAGCTTTTTAATATCACTTTATGAGGAAGGGTATTCCTGGAGACAGAACCTGGCAGATGCTTCCTCCCAACCGGCTTTAATAGCCCTGCTGCAGAAGATGCCTGCAGCGTAGGATAGCCAGTTTCTCTCTGCACTTAGAGAAGCTATTTTCTTTTCTGCTCATAGCTCTAAGTGTTAACAGGCCAACGCAGTACTGGGATTAGAAATGAGGACATAATTTTTGGATGAACAATTGTAGCAAAACCGTTTCATGGCCAAACAGGTTTGGTGACTAAGTACTTCCCAGACTGCCTTTATGCCTGGTGTGAAAAGATACCTCAACACCTGAAGGAGTGTCTCTGCCAGCTTGCTGTTGGGGCGCTTCTGTCCACATAGCTGAGGGGCTACAGAGACTGAAGTCCTATATCGCTGTCATTTCCTTAAAGTAGTTAGGGCACCCTGAGGTAGGCCACAGTGAAACTTGATCATCAGAGCTTTTGTTCAAATTTGTTACTTTGCCCTGCACTACTTGGAAAAATGGGCCTTTATTTCCCACTCAGCTGTTACTGTTCCTCTGCCGGTTGCATCTGCCTTGCCTTCCTCAGTGTGCACCTCTGCCAGGGCGCAGCCTGCTGTGCTGCAGCCTCCCTGTCTGTGGCTCACCCTGCAGGGAGGAGCCGTGTGGCGCGCCGCTTGGGAGGGTGCTTTCCTGCGTGTGGATGCAGTCTGGCGGTCCCATGCGTGGAGGCACTGGCTGAGGGCCTCTGTCTTCATCTGGCAAGGCTGAGTTCCCCACAACATTATTACTTCTGGAAACAGGGTTTGTCTACAGTGTGGAGCCTGGCTGCTTATTCCGAGGTTTAGCGGTGTGGCTGATAAAGCAGCGTATTCCTCTGAAGACCAATATCCAAGCTTGCGGAACGTAGATGAACAGAGTTCTTAGCCCTGGTGGCGAGGGGGCTCCCTTACTTAGAGTATTTGTGTAGCTGTCTTTTGCAGCAGGGAGTCCAAAAGCCTGCCACATCTGCTTTCTCTGAGGACTGTTAGGAGAGCAACTCGAGTGAGATCATGCATGTGCAATTGCTTTGGAAATGCCGAAGGGTATGTTCTGACTCACGCCCGTGGGGTGAAGCCATCGCCCCTCGAGCTCTGTTGGCCCATGTTTGCAAAGCATGGTGATGGCTTTGCTGAGTGGTTACCATAATCCCTGGAACAGGTCTGCATAGTCTCTTCAACTTGATGCTTCTGTCTAACACGGCGCTTTTCTGGCCAGGCTAGCCGTTCTGTTTCTAGTTCCAAGTGCGTCTTTGAGATTTACTTAACGCTCTGTGCTTGAAATCATTTGATAGCATCCTTTGGGTGACTTGTGTGTTGTTAACATAGTTTGATACATACTGTGTTGATGAATGCAATTCTGTAATTCATATGGATCTAATGGTTGTATAACGGTTTTCAATGATGTGGTACTTTGTGTCTTTGAGGCATGATGCTTGTGTATGTTTTATGTGTGTAGCTTTCCAGAGTTGTAAGTAAGAGTAGGAAGTAATTCTAACCATAAGAACACTGGTGACTGTTCAAGCGCACAATACCCCCCGCAGGATACATGTCGAGGACACACACACCCCCATACCCACACACACACACACACACACACCCTTTTAGTCACATGGTTGCGTACTCTATAAGCAGCTAGGCAGAGAAGTTTTATTTGCACAGAATGATGCTCTTTGGGCCTCTTGCAGTGCATTATGTCTAGGCTGGGTGCATGTGCATGTGCAAAAGACCCAAGTTGGAGTGTGACAGACTTTAATTCCGCATTGAGGATAATTTAAATTGTTTTGGGCTTTTATTCTTACAGTGCTACGGTCAGGATCTAACTGCCTGCGTTTATCCTTATACATTCACATACATGCAAGGGACAGGTCCCTGGCAGAACTGAATGAAAGGGTACCGTTATTTTAAATGTTTCTGAGTACCTCTATTGCTTTTAGAAGATTTGCATTTAAAACAGACTTAATTTTTTTTTATGAGCAGAATATATTTATTGAGGGAAAGAAAGCATGTGTCTGAGAGAGGGACAGGAGGGGGGCCCAAGCAGGTAGTTCCCCCTAAAACAGACTTAATTCTAAGAAGAAACAAGACTTGAGCGATGGTGAGAGTTCAAATAACTTGACCAAGGTTCCCAGAGTTACTGACGAGTACAGTCAGGGTCTCCCTACTTGGGCATTCCTCTCAGCCACAGTACTGCTTCTCTGCTGCCATTTTAAAGCTGAATTTGGACTTTAAAACTAGGAGGCATTGGCCGGGCAGATAGCTTGGCAGTCTAAACACCTGCCTGGTAAGCGCAAGGACCTGGGTTCGATCCCTGGCACCACATGTCGTGCCAGTCCTGCGCCGTGCTGGCCACGAAGACCGGGTGTGGTGGTGCATGCATGTAATCCCGGCAGTGGGCAGGCTGAGACAGGAGAATCAGTGTGAGTCTGAGCTGATAGTGAGACCCGGTACCAAATAAATAAAAGAACAAAAAACCTAGCAGGCTTTATTCCATATCTTTTTATAATCTCATCATACAATTAAAATATGACGAAAAGATGCTTTATAGGCAAAAAATCTTGTACAGTGTTAGCTTTTCTGCCACTGGGACCCAGTACCTGACACCCATAAATGAAAGAAGCAGATGTTTATTCGGTCTGTGTCGCTGGAGTCCAGTTCACGGCCACTCCAAGGCCGTGGCGTGGACATCGGGTCGTGGGGGAGTGGTGGAGCAGAGCTGCTTAGTCACGCTGGCCAGGTGCAGAGCCGGGGCAGCGCCAGAGGAAGGGGCTGGCGAGCAGAGGCGCTCCGGGCTGAGTGCTGCTAGTGCTGCGCCCCAGCCACGTCCCGTTACTGCTGCGTAGCACAGCAGTTTGGCTCAAGCGGAGGGTGTTAGGTCTCGCTCAGGAGCACCTTACTACATATCATTTTACTCTGTTTATTCTTTGTCTTGTCTGCTTTTCTGTGAGTTCCTTTCACCCTTGGCTCAGACTGGATTTTTTCTTCTTGTTTGTCTCAGTTCTAAAGAAAACAAGTCTTTCTCTGGGTGGGCCTTAGGGTCAACTTGATTTCATTTGGAACTTCACTATTCCCCTGATCAGCTGGACCCTACATAAATTTGGCCACTGTGCACATTGTAAGTTGCAAACATTTCTTAATTTAGTTTAATTTTTTGTGGTACCGGGATTGAACCTAAAGCCTTTGCACTGTGCTACACACTTGTCTCTCTCTCCCTCCCTCCTTCCCTCCCTGCCTGTCCTCTTCTTCCTCTTCCCCTCTCTCTCTCTGTTTTTTATCTTGTTTTTGAGATAGTCTTGCTGGGCTTGAATTTGTGATCCTCTTGCCTCAGCCTCCCACAGTGCTGTGATTACAGGCATGTTCCACCATGCCCTGCTTGCTTTTTATTGTATTTTACTTTTACTTATTTCTTACCTACTTACAAAGACAAATAGATTGTTTCATTTTCTGATTAAAGAAACTGAATCAGAGCAAGCTCCTGTGGCCGGTTTCCAATGCCAGCCAGAGTCGGAGTTCAGGTTATTCTTCGCCACCCATTCATTCCTTCTTCATTACGCAAAGTCTCCAAGTTCCAAAGCAGGTTATGTTCCAGAAATGCATGTGTCCGTCAGCGATTTGGGAGTGCAACTGCATTTTACCAAGGTTGGAAAGAAAACATTATAAACAGGATTAAGTTGCTCAGCTGACCGACAGAGGTCTGTTTAACTGTTGAAGAACGACAGAGCGATGGGTTTGCACCAGAACGAAATGCCACGGCAGTGAGGTTCTGGTCACAGAGAAAGGGAGGCATGTGTTGCCTAAGGATTAGCACATTTAATTGGAAAGGGAGACACGGAGGAAAGTCATGGCATCCTGGCAGAATGGCGAACCTTTTGGAGCCTTCGGTGGTTGCATAGCCCTCAGCCACAGGTTCGCGCCCCTGGTCTGGGCGACTCGGGCTCCACTCTTGTCTAAAGCTCTGCTTTCCTCTGGCTTTTGTAGGTGTGCTGGGGCATCTTGCATCCCAGGGACTTCACAAGCAGTCCAAGCTCTTCTCCGTGGCCTTGGAGGGAGGCCTGGGGCTGGTGAGCGTTGTCTAGTGATGGCAGGACTGATGAGATAGGTGATGTCTACTTGACCTCATGTGTGTTTTGAGATTTTTAAGTATTCTTCCTTTCTACTAAACAACTTATAAATGGAATTTTTTTTCCCCTTGTTTTTAAGACAGAAGTCTCGCTCTGTTTCCCAGGCTAGTTTCAAACTCGTGGGTTCAAGAGTCCCTCCTGCCTCAGCCTCCCAAGTGGTGGGGACTGTGGGCATCCACCACTGTCTGGCCTGTGGAGAAGTCTGAATGCGTATGTGCACTTTCCCACTTCTTCTTATCAGAGATTTGTTCAACCTGGGGTGTGTTGGAGGCATTTTATCTGGGGTGAGTAATGGTGCTGACCCCACACCCTATGGACGAGCCTCCCGGAAGCAGGGTGGACCCGGCACTCACACGCACCAGGTGCCCTCCCGCACAGCTGAGGCTCTGGGGAGCCAGGTCCTTGTGGGGCGCTGGGACCCGGAAGAGGGGAGCTCTGCTCGGCTCCCACGTCCCGAGCAGAGGCACCAAGCGTCCTCCTGAGGTTGCTCGCAGGTCAGTGAGCCAAGCACAGGGCGCTTCCCTCTCACGGCCTTCGAGTGCAGGTGAAGTGGAGCGTAGTGCCTGGGGACCGTTTTTCTTCCTGTGAACGTTGAGATTTCTGTAAGCAGGTTGCTCAGAGGTGCCCAGCGGGAGGGAGATGGGCATCCGGACTCTTGTAGGTTTCACTGGACAAACCTGATTCAGGTAATTCAGGTGTATAAGGGCTTCCTATTTGTTGAACGTCTGGATCCCTCCCGGGGAGGGCAACGTCAGGAAGAAAGCCTTCCCTGATCCCATCTCACCCTCCTGTTGTTGTCCCCTGGGCAAGCACTGTGGCCTGACACATGTGACATGAAGGGCGAGGTGATAAGTGTGCGGACATCTTCTGGAGCATGTTTGTTAGTGTTTAGTATTAATTGATTTAGAGAATAAAAGTTAACTTATTTTGCTTACAACAATTCTTAGGTGACCAGTTTATATTTTATTTATTTATTTATTTATTTATTTTTGTTATGTTCTCTTTTGTTATAGTTCTTGAGTGATTTAGAGACAAAATCTTTTTTTTTTTTTGGTACTGGGAATCAAACTCATGACCTTGCGCTTGTTGGGCAAGTGCTTATGCCACTGAGCTATCTCCTCAGCCCCTTAGAGTCAAAATCTTATGTTTCTGAGATTTTTATAAGTCATAAAGCATTCTTTTTTTTTTTTTTTTTTTTTGAGATAGAGTCTTGCTAATGTAGTTTAGGCGGGCCTTGAATTTACAGTTATCCTCCTGCCTTAGTCTCCTGAGTGCTGGGATTATAGGCGTATGCCAGGATACCCTGTGATAGATGCAGGATTCGTAAGATGGTGCACATGATTCAGCTTGTCCAGCCAGGTGCCCTGGGTGGTCTTTCATCCTGGCAGTTGCCCCTGAATCAAGAGTCCCCAGGCATGGGGTGCCAGTGAGGTAGTGGGTGTTGGCGCCTCTCCCTCTCCCTTCTGAGCCTGCTCTGCGGTAGCACTCACTGGAGAGGAGGCCTGAGGCAGCACACGCTGGAGGAAAGTCCTATGTGGCTTGGTGGCTACCACATTGTCTCCCTGACTTCGCCCATCAGCCTGCAGCTTGGTGACTTCATGTTGTCCTCTGTCCTAGGGTCAAGAAGCCAGAGCATGTCTCTGAGCCCCAGGAGACCCGACTTCGCATTTCTGAGCAATGGCAGCATCGCACCTGGGGCCTCCAAGCCCAGTGCCCCAGGGCCTCGAGAGGGTGACGCCTCTGCCGCGCAGCCTGGGCCCACCGATGCTGTGAAAGCCAAAGCGCATGCCAGCAACGGCTGCCTGCACCGCAACGGCATGGTGAAGTCATCCTTCCTGCCGCTGGACAGCCAGAGGGTGCCCCAGCCACTCGCCCAGCGCTGCCTCCCCTGCCCATACCATCACCTGCCCAGCAGCCACCTGGAGACCGGCCTCGCGGTGCCCTCCACGCTCGCCTCATGTTGCTCAGAGCACTCCGCAGCTCTGTGTGCGAGCCGCTCGCCTGCGTGCCCGGCCCCGTGCTGCCTGCAGCCCTCGCCGTCCTTCTGCCTGCATCAGCCGTGGCCTGACCATTTCCAGCAGCAGCCGGCACCTCCGCACATAGCCGGCCTCAGGTGAGTGCGGGACGCTCCCCTCGGTGCCACTGCCTGCCTTTATTTCCCCAGAAGGAGGAGAGACAAACAGGCTGGGGCCAACAAGTGAGAGTACGTGTGTAGTGTGCCTGCCCGTTCCTCTGGGTCTCGAGCACTGTCCTGCCTGACTCTGGTAAGAGCTACAGTTCAGAACAGCTTCCCTGTGAGCAGCTGCTGGTGTTATGCCCAGGACACTGTCCGGGAGGACCCTTCCCCGTGCCCCAGGGGGGACAGCCCCCTGGAGGGGTGTCCGGCTGGCTGCCTTGCACTCGCCACATCTGTCCATGGGTGTGGCGACTGCAGAATGCTGAGGTCAGGCAGAATTGACAGTTCCTGCCATGGAGGCTGAAGCCAGCGTCAATAGCGTGGGACTTTACAAATATATTTTATGAAACAAGTTTACCTCCAGTAGATTGGAAAACAGAAAAGTCTACACTGCCACATCTTGCTCAGCCTGCAGTTTCTCTTCCACAGCGCTGCCACTCGGGGGAATGTCACAGTCACTGCAGAGGAGGGGGCGACACGCGCCTAGACAGTGCAGGACTTTGTAGAGACCAAGGGTTATTTCATAAAACACTGTGCCGACTTGCAGGAGAGTTCTCCTTCCAGTTAGGGGAAGCTTTACGGGGAAGGCACAGACCATAAGCACACGGTTTGATGGGTGCACACAAGCGCACCGAGCGCGCACCGCAGTCCCTGCCACCTGGAGGGCACATGTCCTCTTGCTGTCCTCACTCAGAGCTGTGCAGAGGCGGAGGGCGGTCCGCACGCCCTCGTGCCGGCGCAGGCACGCAGCCGGGCAGGAGGTGTACCAGCCCTGCAAACGCTTCTCACCGCGAGCCGAGGGGCGCTGTGTGGCCGTGGCCCAGTCCTGGGCCCATCGAGTCAGCCCCAGAAAGGCTTACGTGGCACGTGCTCTTCACCTTTGTCAGGGCTTGCATGTTGTTGAGAGAAATTTTATTTTTTCATTTCTTTATTTCTTTATATTTTATTGAGAAACAAATAGCAATCAGACAGTTTCGAAACTGATCAAAAGGACAGTTTCAATAATTAATACATTGTGCATTGTTATCTTCTTAGTGGTTATCCATAGTACAAGATGCAGACAGGATATCCCGTCCAAGCACTGTTAGTACAAATCTTTCTTCTCATTGAATTAAGTGAAAGTAGCTGTATATCTATCCTAATTATCAATATGCTTCTCAAGCAAAGATCTGATGGTTATTTGATTGTAAAAATGATGCCTAACATGTCACAGAGGGCATTACTTTGTACCAATTCTGTTTTCACATTTCACTGCATTTTTGGGATAACTTTGTGTTGTCTCAGCTTATTCAGGAAGCTGTAACAAAAGCAGGAGGCCTCACGTAACAAAGGTGTGTTTCTCACCATTCAGACCTGTGGGGTGCCCAAGTCAGAACCCTGGTAGATCTAGTGAGTGGCAGAGACTGGGCTCTCCCCATCTTTTTTTTTTTTTTTTTGGGCGGAACCAGGGATCGAACTCGGGCCCTTGCGCTTTCCAGAGAAGCGCTTATTTCCCTGAGCCATCTCCCTGGCCCCTCTCCCTGTCTTTCTCTCTGTTTTGTTTTTTTTTTTTACTTGTTTGTTTGGTTGATGTTGTTTGAGTTTTGTGTTGTGTTGTTGTTGTTTTCTTTTTTTAAATTTTTTTGGGTTATACACGTATTTTTTTTTCCATATATGTGTGTGTATGTGTGTATAAAAGACAGGGAAGAAGTAATGTAAAGTCAACAGAAAATGGAAATATACTTTTTAAAGTTTCTAATACTAGGAGAAGATATCATACAATGTCTTTTAAATAAATTGTAAGTCAAAGATACAG